TTTGGGGCCGTTCTTTTTCAGGGGTGGCTTTTCAGAGACCTTTTGGGGCGGCCCCGAACCGTCGAGCTCCCCAAAAAAACCCCTTAAATCTCCTTGAATCCCCCCAAAAAAACCCCAGGAACCCCCCGGAACCCCCGAATTTCCCCGAATTCCCGAAATCCCGCGCGCACCATGCCGGTCTCGGAGGTGAAGATGACGATCTCGTAGAGCGGCGCCAGCTGCTGCAGGAGGTGCTCGATGCCCGGGCGCTTCTTGAACCTCCAGCCCGTCACCAGCTGCGTTTTGGGGCAAATCCCGGCGCTTTTGGGGCTTTGGGAGTGCTGGAATTGGGGCTGGGGGCTCTTCTGGGCGGGGGTCGGGCTTCTCGGGGCGGGGGAATGGAGGAAACCTTGCGGGGTTCTGAGAGGTTGAAAGTGCCCAAAAGCCCCAAGGATCACCCCAAAAAGCACCCCCAAAAATGCCAAAACCCACCCCAAAAATGGCCCAAAACCTAGCACCTAGCACCCCCTGAGCTCGGGGATTTTGGGGGGATTTTGGGGGATTTTGGGGTTTTGGGTCTCACCGACCACTCGGGGTGCAGCAGCACCCCTGAGCTCGGGGATTTTGGGGGGATTTTGGGGGGATTTTGGGGGGATTTTGGGGGATTTTGGGGTCTCACCGACCACTCGGGGTGCAGCAGCACCCCCGTCAGCTCCAGCACCAGCGTGTAGGGCGGTTGGTAGTACGGCTCCCGCAGCGGGTCCGGCAGCAGCCGCGCGCTCGTGGGCTCGATGATCATCTGGGGGGCACAAGGGACCCCAAAATGGGGACAGGGACCCCCAAAATGGGGATAGGGACACCCAAAATGGGGATAGGGACCCCAAAATGGGGACAGGGACCCCCAGAATGGGGACAGGACCTCCAAATGGGGATAGGGATCCCCAAAATGGGGATGGGGATCCCCTAAATGGGGATGGGGACCTCAAAATGGGGATAGGGACACCCAAAATGGAGATAGGGACCCCCAAAATGGGGACGGGGACCCCCAAAATGGGGATAGTGACCCCAAAATGGGGACAGGGACCCCAAACTCAAGATCCCTCCCCCCAAAATTCCCCCAGGACCCCCCCACGCTCATCCCCTTTCCCAGGCCTGGGCCACCCCA